GGCCAGTCCGGACGCAGTGCACGTACCGGCGCAGGCGGAGTCGTCGGCTGACGGCGTGCCTGACCGAAACAACCAAAAAATATTAATAGTACAGTTACAAATAAAAATACAGTAGTGTGTAATACATATCATAATTGAAATATATACCGTATAACTCAAGCCGCTATCAGTCCCTGCGTCATAGGGGTACAGTGGTAGTGTTGCAGACCTGGTCCATGTGCAGTTGGCATTGCACAGCTCAAGCGCGGAGACACCGACGATCCAGTCGGGTGAGGGCGCCAGCTTGGCGGCGAGGGACATCAGGTGGTGCTTCGCGTCTACTCGGAACACCGCAAAGGTGCTCGGTATACCGCCGCTGGAGACTTGTTGCCATGATATACCGCGCGCCTTGATTATTGTTCGGATGTGATCGCTCTGTTAACAATAATGCGGATGCGGATAGCACTATTCATGATACAGAAGAAAAACTTTTTAAAAAAGGATAGGCCTGCGAGTCCTAGGGTTACAGAAAGCTTATATTCTAAGAAACAAAACTGTATAAATTATCCATCTTTCTTAAATGAACCGTAGAAGTTAACAATTTCATTTTTACTTCTTCTTTAAGTTCTTTTTCCAGAGCAGTAGCGGCGCCATCGTCCGCGAGGCGCCGTAGCCCAGCGCTGGCAGCGCGGCCCTCCTGCCACACGCGGTACTGCGCCGTGTGCGACGCGCCGATCACGTCGCCGAAGTGCGCGCGAGCCGTTTCCGGGGGAAACTCCCGGGGATGAGTGTTCCGAGACCATAGACCCTCAAATGTCACCTAGAGAAAGATTGTCTATGCAAATGTCTGTAATATTTATACCACACTCCGAAACTAATAGTATCAAGGGGAGTATTAAACTACAGATTATATTGATACTGATTAATACATTAATATAATTGTGAAGTCAATTGAAATTGGATAAGATGACAATTAGAAGTGTGGTGGTTATAATTTAAATACCTCGTATTTAGCTTCATCACAAGCACAGCACGGCTCCACGATAGGAGTCTGTCGATTACCGCTGACAGTCGCGGCGGGAGCTGGGCACAGCTTTCGCGCCAACACAGACCATGGCCGCTCGTCGGCATCTTTTGGCTTCGCGAGAAACGCACGAGCGCACAATCGAATGCAACTGTCTATGGTGCTCGTCGGAGCAGTCCAAATAACCTTAAAAAAAATCACATTCACTTTAACACATTCTTTTAATTCACAGAATATAACTTATAATATTTTACTGTTAACAAACCTGTATGTCAGTTTTGGGATGAGCAGTAGCATTACCTATTGCTGGCTTACAGTCGTCATATACCTTTGTCTGGGCGTCATAAGCTTGAAAACTGCCTAACGATTGGTTCGAGTTATTAATTGTATCATTAACGTCTTTCGTATCATTTTCGTTGTTTTGTTTGTATACTTCAGCCCAGATAGTAAACGCTGTAAATGGTGTGGGCCCTTCTCCACTATCAACCCCATGTAGTAGCACTGAAAGTGAAATATGCAAGAAAGAATTTTACATACTACCGCATAACCTAAAATAGGTTATTGTAAATTATGCGTATTACCCGTGTACAGTTCTCCAGGTAGATACAAATCGGGATCACCAGCGATACTCAGCTTGTAATGCCTGTCTGCGGGCTGCGCATGCGGCGGCGCGCGTTCGCATGACGCGGCTGGGGGCGCTGGGGTGCCGCAAGCACTCGCCAGCAAACACAAAACTACCAGTAACATCATCCTCTGATAGGCGTAGGAAAGTCAAAAAAGAGTTTATTACTTATTTTAACTTACTTTTTTTTATTTTATTAATTAATATCAAAATGTAATTTAATAAAACTTTATACTATAACATGACTTTTATTCCAAAAAAATCTTAATTTGAAGTAATTAATTAACTATTTGTTAAGATTATATTATGAACATAGAATGGTCAACGGCAGGGAATGCTAAAGATCCTAAGGAGTTTTGCAAAATTACTTATCAACAAATTTTTACTTGAAATAAATCCAAACAACGTTAATAAAAAGATGTTTGATGTAAATTCTAAATAATTGACATGATTAAGTAATTATTTGCTATTTCATTAAACATTCTTTGCATTCTACGAACAAAGGATCCGCGAGTTACATCGACATGGTTGTACACGGCAAACAAAGAAAGGTCACTCACCTATTTTACTATTAACAGCATTTTTACTATAATTTAGTTACTAAAATATTAAATGAATTAACACTCAATTTAATATTACTTTCAACAAATAATTAAACACAATACAGCTGAAAATCAGAGGAAAAACAGAAATTCCGCCCGCCTTAGCCGCCCTCGCGATTCCAACTGTGTCAGCCGACAGATACATAGGGCATTTTGTACCGGAACGCCGGTAGCCGAGCCATTTTCAATTGCTTCATTAAGTCTGCCGCAATTAAAACTTAAAAAGCCTTATAGAAGCTACTCAAATGCATAGAGTTAAAGTCGGTCAAGAAACAAAAGTAACATCAGTAGACATCATCTACGCTTTAACATCGAAATGAATACGTGCTCTATTCCTGCAAATGGAAATTAATACAAACTTGAATCTTTTATAAAAAAAAGAATATAGACGAATTGAGTACCTTCTTTTTGTGGGAAGTCGGTCAGTACCACAAAAAACTACTATACTGAAGACTTAATTAACTGGTTAATTTTAATAAGGATTACTTTAAAATTTTACAAACTTTAAAATTTTAGATTACTTTAAAATTTAATCAAAACAAAATAAGTCATACAAGGTGAGTGAAACCCTCGGACCTACTTGGCCGGTAATAGCGCAGTTGGGTGTCAACCCAGGGCGCCTGACGAAACGGCACAAGCCTACAAATTACTCTCATCTA